CTCTCCGCGCTCACACCGGCCGTGGTTTTCTCCCTCGTGGCAGGCGTTGTTACCGGCTCACAAACCTTGACTGACGTCGCGGCCTCTGGCTCCACGGTGGTCCTCAGCTCTGTCGCTCTCTCTAGCGATGGCTCGTCGGTCGCGGCGGGGTCCGGCTCTCCGCCCGCAGTGGGCTCCGGCATTCTCCGTCAGCAGTGGGCTCGGGCATGCGCTCCGCATATCGGGGAGATGGTGGGCAGGGCTCTGGGTCGGGCATATGAAAGCTAACCAATCCTGATAGGATTCATGAAGGGGCAGAGACCAATCTGTTGGATATGTCCAAAAAATTGTAGCATCAGATGCTACACAGGAAGAAACAGTAAAAGGGTCAGCTAATAATGGTGCCTAGTTGACAGGTATCATGTTATCTGTTTCTGAAGCAGAAAAGCTAGTTCATGCATTCATGACCTCTAGACTGGACTATTGTAATGCACTGCTAGCTGGTTGTCCTGCATCTTCAATAAACAAGCTACATGTAGTCAAAAATGCAGCTGCTAGAGTCCTTACCAAGTCAAGAAAATATAATCATATTATCCCAATTTTACAGTCTCTGCACTGACTACCTATTAAGTTCCGTATCTGTTACAAAATATTATTACTTACCTATAAGGCCCTTAATGGGTCAGCTCCTGCATACTTAAATAGTCTTATATCACGCTACAATCCATCACGCTCCCTAAGGTCGCAAAACTCTTGACTTTTGGTAGTACCTAGGATAGCAAAGTCCACTAAAGGAGGTAGAGCTTTTTCACATTTGGCTCCCAAACTCTGGAATAGCCTTCCTGATAACGTTCAGGGTTCAGACACACTCTCTCTGTTTAAATCTAGATTAAAGACACATCTCTTTTGGCCAAGCATTCAAATAATGCATCTCATAATCTTGTACTGCAGTTATATCTGATCAAATGCACATTATTATTCAACTCGCTATGAATGGAAGGAGAGGAACCAGTCTGTAGCTATCTATAAGTGAAGTGTTTAATGTGGGCTTTTTAAGCAGTGTGGTTACCTGAGCCTACTTGAATGCGGTGGGGAAAATGTCTGTGAGAAAAGATGTGTTGGTGATGTCTGTGAGTGCTGGTAAGAGTGTAGGGGAGATTGCTTGGAGAAGGTGTGAGGGGACTGGGTTTAGAGGCAAGGTTGTATGATGGCCGGAGAGGAGAAGTTTCGATACTTCGGTCTCAGTGAGGGGACAGAAGTAGGAGAGAGGAGTTTTAGCAGTGGATGTGGTTGGTTTGAGATCCTGTGTGTGTGGAACTGAGAACTGACTGCTGATGGTTTTAGTTTTGTCTGTGAAGAATGTAACAAAATGATCAGCTGTTGGAGAGGTGGTGAAAGGGGACATAGGAGAGAAATTTATATTTTGACGAGATTTCATGTGTCTGAAGATATTTATATGCAAAGTAACTTTTCTTATAAATGTCTCAACCAAACAATTCCATTGTGTATACTTCTTGTCCAATATTCCAGCCCAAATCATTACCCGGCACCTCTTTACTGACATCACAGTCTTGCTGGAACAGGTGGCCATTCACCAACCATCAAGAACTCCATCCATCTGGACTACTGAGTGTTGCACAGCATTCATCATGGAAAAAGACTGTTTGAAAATAAGAGTATTTCCACTGAAAACGTTTATTTTGCTCTCATTTGGTTGAGGGGTCTGAAATGCAGTTTTATGCACAACTGTCAGCTTCTGGAGGCTCTTACATCAGGAGGCTCTTGAGACTCCAGACACCTGCAGCTTCAAATAACTGTTTGCTGCTCAACAGTGGCTTTTATGTAGTTGTTCTTTGAACACCATTAATTTGTCTGACTGAGTTGTTCTCTGTTCTGAATCACTCACAAGTTGATTGTCTCTATTTAGTTTTTGTGAAATAACAGTTGTTTCATGTCTTTTGCAAGACATTGCACTAGTTTGTGGTTTTCATCTTCATAAAAGATCTTTCTTCCTCATATTTCATGAGAACTTTGACTTGCTTAATAATTGAATCCTATGATTACTGAACAGACATAGAAGTGATAACATGTAAACTTGAGTTTTCATATTAGTTGCAAACAAACTAAAGCATGCTGTGCAAATGTGTGGTAAGGTTGTTTTCACTGCAGTGGTTCAGGTGGAGGATTGCAGAATGCCTAAACAAAGCTTTTCAGCGTGATGGTGTGAATCTCTACATTTCTTGTCTATTACCACTCGCTGCTACTTATAATAATGATGAAAATACATGTAGTTAGAAAAAACATAGCAATACATATGGGAGAGTATTGCTATGGTATGACTATTACAGTAAGTATCATATTAGTTAATATCGAATCAAACAAGTCAGCACATAATTTATAATTGAAAGGGTTTCATAACAGTATTTGGTTGTAGTGAGACTAGAACTATAGTTAAACATGTAACTTGGTGAGTGAAAAAATTACCAGAATCTACTAGACATGGTGTTGAGCTCTTTACATGCACTGGGGCACTTAAAGGGTTAGTTCACCCAAAAATGAATATTATGTCATTAATTACCCTCGTGTTGTTCCAAACCCGTATGACCTTCGTTCATCTTTGGAACACAATTTAAGATATTTCTGATGAAATCTGAGGGCTCTCTGACCATCCCATAGACAGCAAGGTAACTACCACGTTCAAGGTCCAGAAAAGTACCAAGATGATCGACAAAGTAGTCCGTGTGACAGCAGTGGTTCAACTGTAAAGTTATGAAGCTACATGAATACTTTTTTGCGCAAAAAGAAAACAAAAATAACAACTTTATTCCATATTTTCGTCTCTTGTGGACGTGCGTTCACGACAGTACCATGACGCGAGCGTGCGCCGGCGCCACCACACGCTGGAATAAAGTCGGTATTTTTGTTTTCTTTGAGCAAAAAAGTATTCTCGTAGCTTCGTAACTTTACAGTTGAACCACTGATGTCACACAGACTACTTTGTCGATCATCTTGGTACTTTTCTGGACCTTGAACGTGGTAGTTACCTTGCTGTCGATGGGATGGTCAGAGAGCCCTCAGATTTCATCAGAAATATCTTAAACTGTGTTCCAAAGATGAACGAAGGTCTTACGGGTTTGGAACAACACGAGGGTGAGTAATTAATGACAATTTTCATTTTTGGGTAAACTAACCCTTTAAGGCTCTTTACGGCTCCTGGATACCCCTGTCATATCACAGCAGCAAAAATGTATAGAGAAATGGGTTTGTGCTCTTTTGACTTGTGTCAGTGTTTATCTCCAGCATCCTGGTGTCGAGTATCACTACAGTAACTCCTTGGTGAATGTGAAATATCAAACAATGGCATCAGCTGACATTCCATTGCAAACTAAATAAAAAACGTCTATGTATTTTACAACCAGTCTGATCCCTCTGAGAACAGGCTTTGTGTAAAAACACAATACAACAATGCAATAATACTTACAATAAAATTTTGCATGCAATATATTTCTTGGATGTTTTATGTTAAATAATGTTATTGGTGGATTTATTTTCTTGTCACGTTTGTCCATGTGATCTTAAACTTCAAGACATCACTGATATGAGCTGGAGACTCAATGAAAGCAAGATTGTGTGTAATAAAATTCCCAACAGTCATTCACAACAGAAACTTTCTCAAATTTCTTTCTAATTACCATTATAATTAATTACCATCTCATACCATGAATATACTTGCCTTAGGTTAAAAAGTTACTTTGAGCTGAATTAGTTCAGCATTCGTTGACTCTTTCTGGTGCAGGAGACACTGTTTTGTGTTGTTCTGCTCTTGATGTTTTACAGATAGAGATAAATGATGTGGGCTGCTTGTTTTGTCATATAACAGAATGAGAATGAACCTTTTTGCCATAGTTCAACAGACTGAGCAGATCATTATGTTGCTGCGTTAACACCTCTGTACATTTACACAGTGTCTAGTGGAGCAAATATCAATAAACATATTCATATTGAAAATAATGTTGTATTTGCAAGAACTGTCATTTTTGAATATGCTTAAAATCTATTTCTGAGTATTGCAGAGGATGTGAAGAGATCTCTTTTTATATGTTCAAGACTTAAAAAATTGTGAAGACTGTTTGGATCTTTCTAACGATATACTGTATGTTTTACTGAAACTAAATGTTTTCTTAGTCAAATAAATCCCATTCGGTGTACTTTCTCTCATGGCTTGTGGTTAAAATAAATAAATAAATAAATCCTTGTAGACACTGACAGTTTATACAGTTTATTTATTATTTTATTAGTTTATTTTGAACAGTATCTCTAGTAAGTATTTACCCAAATATCGATGGGGGGAAACTATCACTTACAGCCTCTTGGAGGCAGCAGAGTAAACTGCAGTATCTCATCTACAGAGTATGATATTTTGCTGTGGTTTGGCCACATAAACGCTGGCATGAAATATAAATAAGAAAAGTAGGAGAAGCCACGGAATATAAACATTTTCATATAGGCCTATAATAAATTACTTGCGCCTCAGAGCTAGCAGATGAGCATCGCGGGCAAAGTCGCATGTGACTTGTTTTCATTGCATTTCCATCTCCCATTATTCACATGAACCCTTTTTGCACAAGTCTAAAACCACCACGTTCTCAGTTGTTTAGATGTGATACTTCGCAGTGATAAAAACAAGGTGATGGAAACAGTGAATGACAGCAGGAATGTGTGGGAGACACAATTTAGAAAACTTTATATCATAAAGAGCCATAATGTAGCTACAGAGATCAATTTTATGTGTGTGTAATACTATTATTATTAATATTTTGTTAATTGTTAGATAAGAGTTCAGATGCACTGAACCTCAAAGGAAGCTGCCGTCATTTGTTTCTCACTAAACACATGATCTCTCTCACCCGCCCATCTGACAACTAACCAAAGTCTCTCCTCCCATCAGATTGACAGAGAGTAAATATTACAGTCTTCACAGCACTTGTTCAGTCTGTCAGAATGAAGAAAAGACAGAGGAACTATGAGGCAGATCTTTCTCGACTGAGCCCAGATACGGAAACCAAAAAAAAAAAAAAACCCTGGTGCAGGTAGGCTATCTATAGCATATCTATGTATATAATAATATAATATATAATAAGTAATTTTGTATTCGTATTTTGGTTTGTTTCTCGACTGAGCTCAGATACAGAAACCGAAAGAAAAACCCTCTGGTGCAGGTAGGCTATCTATAGCATTTCTGTATATATAATAATATAATATATAATAAGCAAAATTTGAAAGGCATTTTATGGAAAATCCAGGTTTTCAGTTCTCTCTCTTTTGGTTTCTCTGCAGCTCATGAATGAGGATGTTACTGGAAGCTCTGCAATCTTGTCCTGCTCTTTCAGTTACAAAAAACTGAAGACAAAACACGATAATGTATTAAGACTCAATGATGGCAGAAATATATAAAACATCATTAAGAGAAAATGATTCACTTGAGGATCAAAAATACAACATTTCCCAGAGAAGTTTACGGAAGGAAGCTTCACTTTCACACTCATGTAAGTTACTGATTAAATGTACTCATTATTTTGTTTAATCCTTTTCATTTGACTAAAATTAAAACAGGGTCAGGGATGCTATTCTGCAGTCTAGCTAACAGCAGGTTCTTCAGCCCTTATTAGAATCAGCAGCTGTGATAACCCTTTTTTCTGAAACTTAAATTCAAATTCATTGTAGCCTACATAAAAAATTTAAATATAAAAAACTTTGCCTAATGTATAATAACTGTGGAAACAAAAAGGGTTCGTAATTTTACAGTGAAACTGGCACAATATTTTGTAGTCTAACAAATGAAGATGAGAAACAAAACTAAGCTTTTTGTTGAACTGAAGTCCAGACATGACAGACGAATGATTGGAGACACGGTGACAGACGGCAGAGACTTGTTCAGTATTACTAATGGTGAAGATTGAGTAGAAATTCAAGAGTTGGCTACATGCGATGAAAAGCTTGTGAAAGTCTTCTGTCTCAGGTGTCTTGAATATACTGAAGTAAATCTGAATACGTTTAACAAATCTCTGGAGCTTCAAGACAAGACATTTTGTATGAAATTCTTTTATGTATGTATAGAGTGAATAAGATAGGAATTAAGATATGTTTCCTGTGGGTTCCAGCACATGTGGGAGTGGATGGAAATGAGGTTGCGGATCATTTAGCAAAACAGGCACTGAAATTATCACATACAGAAATTATTATACCACTAAGCAAAGAAGAAGTTAAGGTTAAAATTCGAACAGCAATAAAAATGAGATGTCAAGCAGTTTGGAATAAGGAAGAGAGAGGAAGACATCTTTATCATATTCAAAATCAAGTTGGAGTTGAAAGAGTTCATTTTGGTAGTAGAAGAGAAGATACAATTATTACTAGACTTCGCATTGGCCATACTGCTTTAAATTCTTCTCTATATAAAATGAATAAGCATGAGTCTGGGAACTGTAGTCTGTGTGGATTACCAGAAACAGTAGAGCATGCACTATTACGTTGTTCTGCTTATGATAATGAAAGAGCATTTCTGTTGGAAGAATGAAAAGAAATAGGGATAGAAAATATGACACTTAAAACTTTGTTGAATAATGGCTTGAATCATAAAATATATAATGCTTTAATGACATTCTTTAAAAAAGCAGATATGTTTAACAGGATTTAGAAGAATAAAAAGGGGAAAAAAAAGAAAAAATTTATTTTTTCTATTATTATATAAATTTATTGTTATTATTAATTTTATTTTTTTTGTTCTTCCTACTCCATCAATGGTCCACACTCCAGCCCAGTAGGTGGCGGGAATGCACCTATCGTTTGTTTGCCAACCGCCATAAAACTCCAAAAGAAGAAGAATTTTTTTTAATTAATTTTTTATTTAACAATCATTAATGTACAAACAATTTGGCCATATCAAAACATCTTCACATTACAATATACAGAACAGGTGCATACAAATACAACAACAACAACAAAAAGGAGAGAACAGAGAGAGGGGGGGAAAAACCCCCCAAAAAATTTTAATAAAATTTCCTTGAAGGGGGGCTAGGTTTTTTCTTGTAGATCATAATCCATAATAATAGAAAACAGAATTATTGCATTTTTCTTTTTTATCACTTTAAGGGTTTTTGTATACAAAAGAAACTCATTATGAAATGCATAAAAGGCTGGTTTTACTTTCAAAAACCTTGATTTGTGAATATAAAATTTTCCCAGTATAAGGATGCTATTGACCAGAACATCATCATTGTTATTGTTCATTACAAGTCCATAGATAATGTCCTTTAGAATGAAACTTTCAAGGTAATGTACCTTTGGGTAAAGCCAGTCATGAATATCAATCAGACCATAAAGCATCCACATATTTACAATGAAAAAACAGATGATCC